GGGAAACATCCCTGAGGATGATCCGAAGACATGCCATCGCAACTTTGATCCTCTTCAGAGGGGATGGCACCCCCGCTTCGGCAGCCCGACGACCTGCACGCGAAGTCGAGCACTTTACGTTAGAGCAGTGTAAGGAAGACCCATACCGCACACCCTCTGTCCCTACCCAGACTGATCCAAGTGATCACCCAACCGCACACTGACCGCAGCCAGTGATCGGCTGGGAACCGTGTCTTAACGATCAGTCCACAACGGGACTGAATATCGAATGGGTAAAGTGAGAAGTGATCGACTCGAGGAGGGAGTAATCGACGAATCTCGCTAGTTTTATATTATTTTAATACCGGAGTTAAATAGGCGACTCATTTTTTTGTGTAAAAAAAGTTACGACTACAGGCTATGGAGTTGACCCTTGTCATTTTGAAATGAATCGACTGGGTTCGAATCCCAGTCGATACGAATTCCGCACCCGGCTTGCACCGACCACAGTGCTGACTTGAAATAACCTCAATGGTAGACGGATCATGGGTTAGAGTCCCCTTGCCGTAAGACTAACCAGGGGATTTTTCTCGTGGTTTTCCTCTCCGTGTAACACAAATGCGGGTTAGCTCCATCAAAAAGTCCTCCACGAAGGCAAAGTTCTCACAATACTTGATCCAGGAGCTCCCTTGTCTTCTGGATTGGGTTCAAAATGGCAAGGCTACGGAGTTGAACATTAGTAGTCGTAAACCCAAAAAATTTGGGTCGGCTGTTATTAATCGACAGTTATAAAACAGAACAAAAAGTATTTTCTGGTTCAAGACAAAGTAGAACTTTTTGAGAGTATTAATCCACATATGCGTTGCATGGAGAAGAAAGCAATAAAAATCTCCCACTGTTAGCCACAAAGCTAATGGAGTCATATTTCGTCTACGACTGAAGATATTTTACGTTAAGCAATGCGAATGATGGGAGCAGAATTCTTATCGACCAGTCATCGCTGGGATTCGAGCCTTGTTCCCACAATGTGGCTCAAACTTTCGTATTTTGTTTGGAGAATAACAGTTTGTGTTAAAACTTTGGATAATCTGGTAAAAACAACCGTTGAGGAAGACGTTTTGAGCCTAATAAATTCAATTTGTGTTTCCGCGGAAGTCGTCCTGAACATAATACTGATATCCCTGATTTATGGGGTCGACCCAGTTTGTCGGAGAAGCAATTTACATGGTCACCCACGTTAAATATTTAGTAGTCGTACTTCCATTACGTAGCAACACAATTGGCTATTGGCGACGGTATGGGTTAAATATCTATAATGATCCGAAGACATTTTTCTTAAAAAAACCGTCGTTGAACAGCCGACCCAACTTTGGGTTTACAACTACTAAAGATTCCGTTATCTTGTAATTTTGAACACAATCCAGAGGACGAGAGAACTCCTGGATCAAGTATTGGGAGAAATTTGCATTCGGGGAGGACTTTTTGATGGAACTAATTCTCATTTGCGTTACATGGACAGAAAAATCACGAAACATTTCCACGGTTAGCCTGACCGCAAGCGAACTCGAAACCATGATTTGTCTACGACAGAGGATATTTTATGTAAGCACTGTGGTCGGTGCCAGCCGGGTGCGGAATTCGTATCGACCAGGGATTCGAACCCGTGTCATCTTATTGGGAGGCTCTATCCCCTGAGCCACCACGTCTCCCGAAGGCATTTTTGATATTATATCGAGGGTTTCTTCTTTGATAATCCGATGACCGAACACTTTACTGTAGAATAGTTTAACGAAGAATAGTTGAATAATGTGTTCATCAAAGTGGTTACCCACCCGTTCATTGACCGTAACCAATGATACTAGGTTCGATTCCCACAGTGGCTCTCTTCTTCTCTTCCTTACCTTTTTTTTCAGTATCATTCGTTTAAATATTATTTATTATATTTCAATCGTCATTTAAATTACAGTATTTTTTTAAATTTCTTTTAATAAAGGTTTGCTTTTTTGTGTTCACAAATAGTATTCAATTTGAAATGTAAATTAGTTTATTCTATTCATTGCATTTTAGTTATGACTTGACAATAAAATTGCAATAACAATCCAAACTTTCTACTTCATTTTGTTAGTTAAAATAATGTCTTATGTACTACAAAAAAAGTTAAGATTTTAAAGTGATTTCTTCAAAATAGGGTAGTCTCGTTCAACTTTGTGCCATTTATTTTCACAGACACGTTCAATATCTTATTAAGTGTTTACAGAAGAAATAAATTCTGGAAAAAAGGCTGTGCATATTAAAATGAACGCAATAGTTCATCGTTAACCTCCATGCCCGAATTTTAATGCATGATGGATATGCTTCTAAACTTTCAAAATATTGAAAAATCTTTTTGTTTTAATGATTATGTAATATGTTTTTCACCTTCAGTCACTAAGTTCGTTGTTAACAATCAACTTTTATTAACTGTGTAAAATAACAAATAAGTTTTTTTTTGTCTTCAATTTTTTTCCTTCTTTGTACTAGGAGGCTCCGATCACAGTTATGACTTGCCTCGCTTAAAAGTCTTATTATTATTTTTTAAATTATTAAACCTAAGAAATATTTAATTATTATCATTTTATGTCAGAACATTTTGTTTATCCTAATAAAATGATTGAACTGAATTTTAAACTACAGAATATGTTTAGCATTACTTTTTTCATCATTCACTTTTGTTATATTAGAGCTTATAAAATGACCTAGTCAGAGACATTTCTTATCGAACAATTATTAATCAAACTTAAAAAGATTTATTTTATAAATTAAACTTAAAAAGTGGGCTATTTTGTAACAACAAAAGAATACTTATCATAAAAATATATACTTAACATAAAAAAATACTTTGTTTTGAAGGTTATTAAAATAATTATTTACATAAGTTCTATCATTTCCTGGCCATTACATAGAAATTTTATGGCCGTAGTATTAACAAAATAAATTTATCGATCATTGTAATTTTGACCACTTTCCAGCTAGTTGAAGCATTTAAGAGAGAATTGTATAGGATGGTCATGCTAGTATTAATCATTTACTACTTTCCGCGTAGCTAGAGCGCTCACATTTCAAGTTTTTTGTATGATAATAATTCAATCCATTTTGTAAATACTAGCAAAAAGTATAACTCATTGAAATTTCGAACACTTTAAAACAAACAGACAAAAACAAGAGCCGCGGGGTATATTCATTTCGATATATATATATATACGCTTTATCACCCTCCAACGTCTTTAGAAAGATGACGTAGTTTAGGTGTGTCAAAAAATAGACTTGTTTTCTCATTTTTAATTCGATAGAAAAACCTGATTTTGACATTTTTTTTAGCTATTTCATTATAACTAGTCTCACAAATTTTTAATTTAAATTCTATAAACAATCCCCACATTTACTTTTCAAGAAACATTAGTGTCATCTAATCAAGAAAATAAAATTTAAATTGAGAAAACAAATAATAACAATATTTTTTTTATAATATTTCTAATAAAAACAACACTCATAAAGATTCAGAGTGATGTCATTTATCATTGCTGTAGTTCATTGACGTCGCACTAGAACTGCACAATGGGCTATTGGCGACGGACTGGGAAACATCCCTGAGAATGATCCAAAGACATGCCAACATCATTTTGATCCTCTGCAGAGGGAATGAAACCCCCGCTTCGGTAGCCCGACGACCTGCAAGCGAAGTCGAGCACATTACGGTAAAACAGTTTAACGAGGACCCATACAGCATACCCTCGGTCCCTACGCATACTGATCCAAGTGGTCACCCACCCTCTCACTGACCGCAGCCAGTGATGCCTGACTTCGGTGATCTGCTGGGAACCGTGTCTTAACACTCCGTTCACTGCGGGACCATTTAACGTGGATAGCATATTATATAGTATAATATTATGTATAGCACAGATTTCGAAATTGTTAACATCATTTAAAAATGTCGAAACCTGTTGAACCTGAAAATGAAAGTTTTAACACTAAACATATTACAACCGGTCAAATGAGCGTTTATTAACTTTTGCATCGAAAATGCGCTTATCATCTTATCTGTTTTGCACATTTGACTTCACAACTTTTTCTAACAATTATATACAGTTAATATTCTATTATTTTTGTTTGGAAACTAATACGTGTCGTGTATACCTATTTCTACCACAAACCGGTTATTTGAAGACAATGTATTGCTTTATAAGGCATCAGAAATGACAATGAGTTGCACATTTCCGTAAAGATTGTTGCCTTCAATCAGAATAATTGTGAATTCAGATTTCAAGCAAGTATTTAGATTGGCATTTTTGTGTCAGAAAGAGCAAAATGTTTTGGTAAGTTGCGTATATTTCATTTGGAGAGCTTTACCTCATTTCCAACTCACTGTTAGTTTTTACCCAGAAAAATTGTCTAAGCAATCGACACAGCGCAACAAATAATATTAATTATAAGAATAATTACAGGAATTATAATTCTTATATATTCTTAGAATTATAAGAATAATTATAAGGATTATAGAAATAATAATAATTAGAAGAAATATTTTTTTCTGAAAATGTACAATGGGAACACTCCGTATAAAATGCGTTGAGACATTCTTATTCTTTGTGATATATTAAAATTGGCAAAATACAATTTTGTTTATTTCCTTCCTAATATCCATATATCGAACAGTCAATCAAGAAATTTAAGGTCCGGCTATAGTAGAAATAGGTATATATTAAGTTGTCCACATCAAGATTTATTAAACGATTTAACATTGCTTGCTTTTCAATGTTTCATATTCAACACTGTACAATATGGTTCAACACTGTACCGAGTTTTAGGACAGCGTCGGGACATTTTTTTAAAGTTTACAAAAAAATATGACATTCAATTATTATCTTAAAATAATTCTTGCATACACACACGATAACATAAAATCCATTCTTGAAAAACGAGACACTTTCGTCTGTTCAACAGATATGTATTTCTTTCCACTCCATTAAGTAAGGAAGAAGAAGGAAAAAAAAGGAAATTATTTATTAGCATGTACAATTGCTGAAATGTTCAACAGTCACATCGTTATGCAGCACCACTCTTTTTTTTAAAAAAAATTCAGAGAATAAAACTCTGAATTAGCTAGTTCCCCCCATCAGTTCATCTTCATATTGTTTCCTGAAACAATCACCCACAGGAAAGAAGTCCCAGCACCTCTTCTGATAGAACTCCCACACATAGGTCTCCTGAAAAGATAAGAGAAATCATGAATCAGCTTTCAAACACTCTTGAATCATTTTTAACTTGGAAGTCACCCAACTGCGAATTTTATTCAAAATAGTTTGTATTCAATATGACGCTTACTATTTTCAAATTTTTAACTTTTTTTAATAGTTAAAACTTTGAAACATGGAAAAGTTTATCGTACAGAATTTCAGATTTGTTTCATTATTTATACAGCTTATAAAACCACGTGGATTTTTTTATGCTCTCTACATCAAAGTTTGAGTTTGACTAAGATGGAAATAGCAGACACTAAATCTACTTCAAAATAAATAAAAATTTTAAAAAAATGTCATAGAAGATAAAAAATATTTCAACTGTTTTGACCATAATTTCTTCTTTAGGGCTGGTGAAATGTAGTTTTTTTTTTTAGCAGTTGAGTGACAGATTCCAGAATAAAAAACTTAACCATTAAAGTGACGAGGTGTGCATTTTAAGTAACGGTCGTTAGAAAATAAAAAAACCAAAGGCAAGAAAACTTTCAAGAAGCAACATTATTTTCAGATTCTACATAAGTTTGTCTTTTTTTCAACGTGTTCACCAAGTTTGTTAAAACGCTTATCATTAGATTTAGAATACCCTCTTCATACAATTTTGCAACCTGCTCCGTTCACTAAGAGGTCACGTATTCACAAATGATTGCAGCAATAATGATGTTTGAAATATCGGAAAAGATGAAAATCACTCAGAGCGAGGTCTGGGCTGTAAGGAGGGGCGGACCAAAACTTCCCAGCGTAAAGAGTCCTGGGATTTGAGTTGCGGAGAGAGTCAGTGTCATAGAGTAGCAAAATTACCTGTCAGCATGGCAGGGAGATAAGCTACTTCACGAATCTGCCAGTGAATGTCTGTAGCAGACATGTTTTACGCCGACTGAAAACGCATCACTGACCGGTGCATGGCGGGCGATTTGTTAAACATTTAAAAGACACAGCTGCAGTTGAGAGCAGTTGCTCCCAAGGAATGCCGACCTTACTTTAAAAACCGTTGGAAGATCATATCACTTGTAGTTTAATCAGTTGTAAAAAAGAATATTAAAGACAATAAATAAGTAGAACTGTTCTCAATAGTTAAAAAAATTATAATATAAAACAAGAACTAAATTATCACTCAATAACAGCACTTAAACGAATCATCGCAGTCTGATCATTTGTTAGACCTTCCAAAATTGTAAATTTTAATAATAAATTTCATAAATTCGTAAAAAAAAAAAAAATAATAATAATTTTGAAAAATATACAGTTGCTTATATTAAGACAAATAATTTTAAAAAAAATTATTCCAACTACACTTACTTGACCAGTATATTCTGTGTCAGGTTTGTTGATGAGATGCATGAGGAAAAACCTAAAACAATAAGAATTAAAATAAGTAGTTCATTTTAAATAGAATTTATGCCAGACAAACGCAGTATTGAAGCATTATTTTCAAACATTTAGCGAAATAGTCTTGGAATCACAAGATCAATGAAGGATAGCGAAGAGAAAGATACATTTTGAAAATCTATAGCGAAAGAGAATAGTCTACGTCATCGTCAAAAATATTTTAAAAAAATACTCAGGATACCTCATAGGCTTTTCCTTTAAAAAAAACATAGGATATCGTCAGTGTTGTACCTGGACTACCTAAAGCCCTAGATTATAGTTTGTCTACGGTAAGAACTCTCTCCACAACAAAGTCTGAGGCCGTCTGCTGCTATGGCAACAAGAATAGCGTATTTCAGGGGCGTTAGCTTCTCTTCACTCTAAAGCTAACACAATATACTTCAGAAAAAGATTCCCTTTCCCTCGCCAACTCGTACCAAAACCTGTCCTAAACAGTGACCCCTACATGAAATAGTTATATCTCGTTAACATAGTCACCGCCACGGGTCCAGACGAATAGCTGGGGGAGTTCTTACTTAAGACAACTTATACTTGTGGCGTCACATTTTTCCTTGCGACCTTTGTGCCGTTTTTAATTTTGATTGGCTGGAGCCGATCACATGGATAGACGGTTGACTGGTTTGAACGGTGAAGTGTCATTTCACTTGATCTGTTATTTCTATTTACTTTATTCGTTACATACTTTTAAATCAATAATGACTGGTTGTTGCGCACTTGGGTGTTCTAATTAAGCCAAAATTAGGCTATAAATTATATTGCTTACATGCTGGTGATCGCAATAAAGAACAAATGGCTGCATGGAATTGGCAGAGATAAATGAACTCCAAATATAAAAGATACGACGATTAAACTTAAATAATCATCCAGTTCATAATTTTATGCCAACTTTGCGAAATACCTTGTCTTGTTGAGTCCATTAAAAACTGAAGCTCTCACGTAGTTTTGCCAACTTAAAGCTTACCATTAACTAAAACCACGAGAGAGAACAGAGTAGCGTTTCTTATGCTCTTTTAAATGATGGGTGGAATAGACTTCAAAACAAAGTATGATGCCGTAGAGATTTGGCAACTCTGTTTTATATTAAATTGAAATAACCACTCGGTTTAAAAGTTTGCATTCAAATAAATTTAAATATAACCCCACCCAGTTGAAACTCAGAGAACAACCGACATGACACCGATGAGACATTTAGGAAGGTTAAAAAAGAAAAAAATAATAATACTTACATATAGTTTGCGAGATTATGCTCTTTCTGAACATGTGTATCAAAACCGTGGGGAACTTTGTCAAAATAATCCTTTCCAATTCCACAAATGAAACAATTAGACTGAAAAGAAGTTTAAAATACACTTAGAAACGTGTTTAAAATCAAGAAGCTATAATGAACTAAAACCGATTATTAACTTATGCTCTATTCGTGTTGAATTTCATTCGAATATCAAAGTCGTTCTTTTGTTAGCTTCTGAGAACTCATTCAATACAAGTCATGCAGCAGACACACATTGAACAAACTATTTTCAAGAATTTCCTGATCATCTCAATAAATTAGGACTTGCAATATTTCTTTTTTTCATAAAATATTACGAAACGAAAAGTAGCGTAAAATCTTTTTAATGTATTCAATTCAGACGTATAATTTTGAATTCACTATTATCTAAAAATAAATTCAGCGCTCAAAATAAAAATATTACCCTGAATCACTTTAATGATCCCATACACAAGTATCAATAATTATAGTATTTGGGAATGACTATTAATTACAGTCCCTGGCCATATTATGAGACGGACTCTCTGTAAAATTGTAATTATCAGATGATTCTTTACAGCTGTATTGTTTGCACTTGCTTACGCTCCTGAGTCAATGGCTTAACATTGTAATGCAATACGTTAAAAATAAGTACAAATAAGAAGTGTATAAATTGTATTGCATTGTACTAAAAAATACTTTTAACTTCAATTGCTCTAAAAAAACATTTTTCAAAAATATAAAAACAGACAAATAATTAGCTGTATTAATATCTCGTTAGAAAAGAAATACCGCCTATTTTATGACTAAAATGGACTTGCATTGCAGGGGAAATATGTGAAAAGAATGAGGATAAAAAGCAACATAAATACCTCCATATCATCGACGACGCTTTGAAGTTGATCTCTAAGCTCACCAAATGCATCAATGATCAAACCTGTGTTCAAGTATTTTAAACAATCAATTTTGATTCATACAGAAGTTGATAAAAAATTTAAAAAAAAGAGAGAAGGATTTCTTATTGAAGCGATGAAGCATTTAAATGAAAGAAACAATAATAAGATTAATAAGTGAAATAAGACAATTTATTGAAATAAACAACCCACCTTGTATAATAGCCAATAAGATGACAATGATGAAGAAGAAGAAAGTGATGTCAAAAAGAATTCTATAAGCCTCGTATTCATCACCATCAGGAGGATCAATTTCATCACCTTTAAAAAATACACAAAATTCAACACATTAACACAATACGGAAATGCAATCACATTCTCAAATATGTTAAATATGCAGTACATTATAGTCGGGGTGGCTTAAGGGATAGAGCGTTAGCCTCACAATGAGGTGAACCGGGTTCGAATCCCGGGTCGATTTGAATTCCGCATCCGGCTCGCACCGACCACAGTGCTGACGCAAAATATCTTCAGTGGCAGACGGATCATGGGTGAGAGTTCCCTTGCCATCCGGCTAACCGTGAGAGGTTTTCGTGGCTTTTCTGTCCATGTAACGCAAATGCGAATGAGTCCCCCACGAAGACAAATTTCTCCCACTACTTGATCCAGGAGTTTCCTTGTCTTCTGTATTGGGTTCAAAATGGCGGAGTTGAAGATGAGTAGTCGCATCCCGAAAATTGGGTCTGCTGTTCAATGACGGTTTCAAAATAAAATATGCAGTATCAGCGAGGGCCAACCACGGAGATTTTTTCAAGGGTGAAACCAGCGGAAAACATACATTAAAATGTTTAAAATATCCTGTTCATTTTTTTTTTTAATTTTTGCATTATTGAAAAATGTTATTAAAAATATACATCGAATATTTTTTCAGACGATATCCATAATTTCAACTAACACATTTTAGCTGAATATTTGTGTTCTGTATAATTTTCTTTTAAAATACTTTTTTTTTTGATAAGCTATGCAAACTAAAAACACTTAAAGACAAATTATAAATTTTTCTTCCCTAGATTTCGAGGAATTGTACGATTGCATCCTGAATAAGTTTCTTAATGAACCCATTTGTGTCCACTCGCATTTGCGTTACACGGAGAGGAAAATCACGAAAACCTCCCACGGTCAGCTTGATGGCAAACGGATACTAACCCATGATCCGTCTACCACTGAGGATATTTTACGCCAGCACTGTGATCGACGCCAGCCGGGTGTGGAATTCGTAACGACCAGCCATCGGTGGTATTTGAACCCCGTTCACCTCATTAGAAGAGCTCTACCCTCTGAGCCACACCACGGCTCTATTCCTATCAATTGTGATTTTAAATGGGATTTAAAACTAAATCAGTTTCAACACTTAAAAATCAAATCCTATTTGAATATTACTTACCAATGCCACCGCCTGCTCTTACTCCCTTATATAAGTGAAACACAAAACACTGCAAAAATAATAATGAAATTTAATAAAAATATTAATCAAGCATTAAAATAGTATTAGCAAATACGTCAATAAAGCTCTTTAGGTATATAATTACGTACATAATTACATATATTAAGTACTTAAATACCACTACTTTAATAATGAAACTCAATATAAAATATTATTCAGTTATTAAAATAGTACTGTAAATACGTAAATAATTAAGTATACAATTACTCTTTGCGTATATAATTACGTATATAACTAACGTACGTAAATAACACTCTTTTAATATTGAAATTTAATAAAAAATATTTATCAGATTAAAAATAATATCAGAATAAAAAATTCAGAATTAATTTTATTATTAGAAGAAACTTCATTTTACACATTGTTGTTAATTGTCTTTTAAACAGTTGATCAAAAGATGCTATGGATTGTATTTTAAGTAGTAATAAACCACTTTCTGGTGATTGTCTATTTGGAAAAGATGCAGTTTCCAAACAATGTGGACTCAATGCAGAGCAAAAACTTTAGTCATAAGAATTGTGATTATCTTTATACTTTCAATTGATTATAATTTTAGTGTTTTATGTTATCGGTAAAAATTAATGGGACGGTATTTATCCTGCAACCCTTAAATAGGGTCTTCACATACATCATGCTTAATTTTAGCATTTTCTGCAAATTTAATTTCTCCTCGAACTACAATTCTTATGGATAACTTTTAATAATGCATTCACATGTAGATCTTTCCAAAGATTGTACGATGAAGAGAATCAAAACGATAAAGCAAACACATTTTTAAATGTTGGCAGCATTGTTTTGTTTTTAATCAAATCGAGAAGAATATTTCACAACGTTTAAGCATCTGTTTTTGTTGAAGCAAAATGAGAAAAAGAGAGATACCGTCAACATGTTGTGGCATTTTTGATCCACTTGATCGTCCTCTTCCTGAACATAGAACTTTCGGAAGAAGTTGAATGCAATGACGGTGTAAATATAAACGATTATAGTCAATAACATCACAGTCAACACCAGCTGCAATAAAAAAAAAAAAATCAGACATGACATCGTGTTTCCGTTCAAAGTAGTTTTCAAAATAAAATATAGATGGCAGCATGAAATCACGTGATTAGTAAATGCTTACTTTTTGTTTGTTTTATATATTATGTAGTTTAGTTCTCTCTGTGTTTTTGTCTCATTAAAGTTGCGTTATTAAAACCGGCATGGTCATTTTCAAAGTGACCATTTCAAGGAATCCTTTTACACATCCAAAAACAAATAACAGAAGTTTTTCTAAAACAATTTAATTCAAAAATCTTGTAGAAGTTTTTGGAGTAATACTACCACACTTGTCGAGGATAATAAGAAATTGACTTTAAGGGAACCATGAAATTCTCAATATTTATTTTTATATCGTGTTATTTTTGTACAGTGAGTATGATGTTTGATGAAATGAACTGCTTAAATAAAAGGAAGTTCGTTCCAGCATATTTTAAGTTATAAAACCGTATATTCTCTGCAGGATTTCTGACTCTCTCTCTCTCAAGTGATTATGCCAGGAACACCGTTGTTGGGAAGTAAAAATCACTTTTTGCGAAATGTGTCACCATTTAACCGAATCAAAATATGTGTGCACACATTATAAAACTCAACTATTCAAAAATAATTATTATAAGTAGTTTATAAAAATCATAATTGTTATATCATTTTAAACAATAAAATTATAAATGAAAAAGTATTAAACATGAACGAAATCAGTCAGTTTTCGAGTTGTAAGATATCCTATTATTATCGTAAAATATCGCATATATAAGTAGTGCGTATTAGAAGTATTTAGTTGTATTTAAAAGTTTTCATTTATTCAACCGATTTCTTAAAAATTTTGTAATTCAAAATGTTTACATAAAAATGAGTACACTTTACAACTTAGTTATTTTCAATCAACCGAAAATTGAATAACAAAAATTAATAAATAATAATGACGAATGGCTCTTTGGTTGATATTGGATTCAGAGCACTAACATTTTTTTCAATTGTCTAAAATAATTCTAAACAAATTTTAAAGTAAGCAAAAGTGTTGAAATATCATAAGGAAAAAAAATTGAAGCCCCAACCAGAAAATACGTTAATAATGTGAGAGGGCAACTCGACTCAAGAATATGGTTTAATCCATTTAATGAATATATGTCACGGCGAAAGACCGAAATCGGTGATGGTTGTTGACTTTCACCGGTGAATGTCCACAAACACCAAAATACGTCGGTGAAAGATCAAATATTTCAATACATTCTTGTACATTCGGACCCTCACCGGTGTATGTCGACAATCACAGATATGCTTTGGTGAATGTCCAAAATATTTATTACATTCGATTTTATATGAATTTATTCGTGGATATAATTACATTTATTCGATATTTTAACCCTAGACTGATGTTTTTTTAAGGTCAAGTGCCATTGCCCGGTATATATTTGCCCGATACTCTAAACACTGATGTTTCTTCTAATCTATCGTCAGTATGTATTAAAATATAGAATAAATATAAATATATCAAATAAATATAATATAAACGAATAAATTAATATAAAATTGGATATAACAAATATTTCGGACATTCACCAAAGCGACTATGTGATTGTTGACATTCACCGGTGAGAGTCAGAAATAAGGGTATTTAGCAAATATTTCGGACATACACCAAGCGACTACGTGAATGTTGACATTCACCGGTGAATGTTCTCATTCTCCAGATTTCGGTGTTTCACCGTAACAAATACAATAGGCACGTTTGAATAGTATGTCATCTCTAACCAAAGGAAAATTCAATCAGATTGAAACAGGAGGGGGGGGGGAATCGGATTTGAATATAATGGATAATTAATATACTGGAAACTTGATGTTTTTTTTTTTTTTTTTGGTTTTGTGTATCATAAAAGTACAATTGGAAATAAACTGATATTGAATATTGATATGAATATTGCAGTCCTATAAAGCGAATACAATAAACTATTTTAAGTTCAGGACAGAGTCTCGATTAAAATGAAATTCTTAATTGGAGCATTGTGTGACATACAACGAAGTCTTCTTATAACGTCATTTTCCATTTTTGAAGAAAGTATTCTGTGCACTAAATGAATAATAATTAAATATACATATGGTAATAACAACATGCAAAATAATAAACCGTACCTGTTTTCCGTTGTGAGTGACGGATTGGAGGATGGTTCTTAGAGTCTTGAATCCAACAGCAATATCGAGCAGATGTGCGGCGAAGAAAAAATAGTTGAAATTTCCCATCACTGAGAACGTGAAGTACCAAGTGTTGTAGAGGAAAGCCTGCAAACAATAGAAAATTTCTTTACATTAAATAATTTGAATCACATCATTTCATAACACATAAATAAATGAATAAGCAAAATTAACATCACAATTTAATATTATTTTAAACAAACTCTTTTTTTTCCCTTAAGAAAATATTTATATATTTTTTTTTAAATTTCCACGACAGATCTTCAAATAAAATTGGAGCACAATCTGAATGGTTCGAGAATAGGATCTTAAATATGATAATGAGCGCAGACGAAAGCAGAGACAAAACAAACCTTCTTTGAATAAACATACGTTTGTCCCGACAGATTCAGATTTCTGACTCCTAAAGTATGGGAGGGAGCAGCCGCAAATATGCTAATTAGTTAGTGCAGACGATATTTTAAGTTACAAAATCAGACACAAAAACGAACTTTTCGCTATCAACGGATTTCTGACCCCCAAAATGTAGGAGGTAGAAACAATCTGGGAAATAGGGTACCATTAGTTTGGTCAGGAGGGCGTTCCCAAAGCCTGACAACTCCTTTAGAGGACCCAATACCTTGGGAAAAACTTTTAATCGCAAATTCTCTTTCATCTCCACACTGTTAAGATTTTCATTCTAAAATGGTAGCAAAATAACTGGCAGCTGCATGTTCATCCGATTAACCGTAAACTTTACGGTAAAGAACATTTGTTTCCTTTATAGTTTTGAAACCACTTACAAAAAGTATTGTTATAAAATCATGAATACAAAACTATACGGATTTTTTAACAACTAGCATTTTTCAAAAACGTAAAAAAAAAAAATTATTTAACTATACATATAACCTCGGCTTTTCGTTAGGTAATGGGCATTGGAGAGTGCTGGACACTGGAAATTATTCATGTGTTGAAGGGAATGAAAGAAATAGTGTGGTCTCAACACTAGGACTTCAAATAAGCTCGCTCGGCTATGATATGTACTCAGTTGCAAAGAACTAGGTAGCTTCATTAGGTGGTGCGATAAAATTCTAGTTCTTTAACCGTATTAGGTGAAAGCAGTTCATAAACACTTTTTCTCAAACAGTTTGGTTACCATTTATTTATGGTTATTTTACTGATTTGATTAAATAGGGTAAAATAACCATTCAATAAATTGTTATTTAACCTTTTTTTTTAGAAATTTCCAACAGTGCAACATTAATTTAAATTATAAAAGAAATAAAAGAATGCGTTCAGACAAATTTAGAGTAAGCCACGAAGCTTCAATCAATGAAAAACTAAATTCAAATTAACGAAATGCAAAGAAATTATTGGAAGAGAGCTTATCCATTGCGTAATCAGAAGTTTTCGTATCATAATGTATTTTTATTGCGATATTTTAAAATTTTAATTTCGGTATTTGAACTTCCTTTTCAATTTTCACTCACTTTTAAATTAACTTTCTAATAACTCACTTTTAAATTAGCCATGGAAGTGAAAAAGAATTTGCCACGAAACATTTCTCCCGTGGTAAGGCGTCCTCTATGTTAATTTTACTTTTTACGTATATAGTCGGATCTCGAGAACTTTTTCTTTTATTTCGCACACAATTATCAAATTCATTTATCCAATGTAAAAAATAACTTTTTTGAAAGTATTTATTATTCTTTATTGTTTTATTTGAAAAGGGTCGAAAAAATGTTGAACGATAAGGAAAAAAAAAATTTTTTTACACCCTATTAAGGAATGTAATATTACATAGCAAAATAGAATATTTGTGCGAAATCAGATGACTAGAAGTCGAATTTTAAAAATGAAACTTTTTAAAAACCACGTTTCATTACAAAGTCATTTAAATGGAACTAGCCTTTCTAAAAATGAAAGAAATCATTGTTAAAATGATCATTAAAGTAAAAACTAAATATTTATTTATTGAATGAAATACAATCTCATAGCTTGAACTTAAGAAGAAGGATTAAAAGAACACATTTAGAGAGAATCTCACGTTATCTGTGATGGTGACGCCTGCTTTCCAAATCTGATACTTCCAGTCCATGCTCATTATCCTGCAAAAAAAAAAAAAACATTTCATTCTCTTTATTAGTGTGAATAACATTTCATTCAAATGCATAACAAAACTAAATATACAGTCTCTAAATAATTTATTAGACGCACTATAAGAAGATTCTATGTAAAATCTTAATCATCAAGTGATACTAGACATCTATATTGTTTTTACGCCGCTGAAACCAGTTTGCATTACGTTTGTGTATTAATTGGTTAATATTGTAATACAATATGTTAAAAAATAAATACAAATAGGAAGTACACTCTATAACAAAAAAATCGACGCACCAAGAAGGAGTTGTCCGATTGAAACGAAAATTGGTGGATAGGAAGACAATGTACAGAATAGTAAATGATTAAAATTTCAGAACGATTGAATAATTTATTGCAGAGTTACAGTAACAAGTTCAATAAGGTGTTGACCCGCCTCTAGCCTGGATACCAGCTGCCACACGGCGTGGTATAGACCGATAAAGCTCCCGGACGGTCTCTTGCGGTATTTCCTGCCAAATTCGATCCAATTGTCATCAACATTCCGTGCCAGATGCAGTCGCCTTCCCATCATATCCCAGGCATGCTCGATGGGAGAGAGATCTGGTGATCTGGTAGGCCAAGGAGGAGTTTGACAAGCTTGCAGACAGTTCATAACAACACGTGCCGTATGTAGTCTGGCATTGTCCTGCTGAAACACCAGCCCAGGGTGCTGCAAAAGGAACGGTAGCAAAACAGGTCTTAGGATGTCGTCGACGTACCGCTGTGCAGTAAGTGTACCTCTAATGACGGCCAAAGGGGTCCGGCTGTTAAAGGAAATGGCACCCCAGACCATAATGCCTTGTTGAGGGCCGGTGTGGCGTGCAATAGTGAAGGCAGGATCTGCGTCTCCAAAGGCGTCTTCGATGATCGTCAGGACAAAGTTGGAAGCGGGATTCGTCGCTAAGGACTATATGTCCCCAGCATATCCCCCCATTTGCATATCTGTTCAAAACATTCATGCATACGAAATTTCAAAGCAATCGGAAGATTGCTTCTTGGTGCGTCGATTTTTTTGTTATGGAGTGTATATGAAAACCCATTGTATTGAGTTAACTCGCGTACATATTGCAAATATTTATTATCCAGAAAAAACTCGGCAGAATTTGTCAGTTTGTTTTGTTTTATCGTGTTTTTACACGGCTGAAAGCAAGCAAAACATAGTTTGGAAATTTGCCAAATTTTGTTTGAGAGTTTTGCTGTACACTTTGTGCGATTGCATATACGATGCTTACTGAATTAACATAGAAAAAAAAAAGAAGAAACAAAAATGGCGTATCATTTCACTGTGATTCTCAACCTTTTTTTTTTTTGTTGCGGCACACTTTTAACGATTTCGAAATTTGACGGCACACAATGAAAAAAATTTAGATTAAAAGTTATTTTCTTACCCGTGTTAAATAGTTTGCGATAATAAATTGAATGTGAAATAAAATATATACTACAAAAGCACGTTTATTAAGGGATTCATTTTTTCTTTCGACTCATTTTTTATTAGTAACAGTTATTTATTATTTTCTAGTTATTAATTGTTAGCTTGTTTTCCATAGTTATTGACTGTTCATATTCTTACATTAACTGTTATTTTTTGTGCTTTCTAGTTAACTAGTTTTTTTGCTAATTATTAATTGTTAGCATATTTTTTTTGTTAGTTGTCCTTCATTCATTTTTTTTTTATATATTTGATTTTTTAGTTATCCTTTGTTAATTTGTTTATTAATTGCATAGCTTACTTTAATGATTAGCTTTTATTTCAGTTTGAAAGTTAATATTTAGCTTGCTTTCCTTTGTTAATTAATAATGTTAATAGTCGTTCAATTTCCTACTTATTTCAACATTTTTTAAAATTGTGTGTCAAAGAAAAGTTACACTTTTATATTATATATACACTCTTTTTTAATTTAAACTTTACTCATAATAGAAAAAGCATTATAATTGTTATTGTATAATTTCTAATGCTTGGAGGCACATTTTAAGAATTTGGAGTCACACAAAAGTGGTTTAGAATCATTTCACTAGGGTTTATCACTTTGTGTGTTGTCCCCTGTTGTAAGAACTATCATACAAAGACTAACTATTTTCATTTGCCCGAGATCATTTGGGATAGTTAACTGATGGGGAATTAAATGTTTTTTTACACATAAAAACAAATTAAAATTTCAACTTAGAACTTGTGTATTATGTTTTGTTTTAGTTCCTTGTATTTGTTCACGAAATAAAAAAAATAGGTTAATTTTTTTCCTTTTTTTTTTCCAAAAAAAAAAAATGTAAGGGAAGTTTTTAAAAATGAAACGAATATGATTTAGACGAATTCATTTAATTAAAGAGAGAATGTCGTCGCCATTGACTAGGAATTGCCTTTTTATTTATTTATTTCATATTTTCTTATGTGTTATGCTGTTTTTAGTTATTATGGGAAATGTAAAATTATCTGAGAAATGAGTTTTAAAATTTAATTAATAAGTTTAAAATGCTCAGTTTCTCTTTCAGTTAAAAGGCGTCAAAATTCCTTTGCCGTAGCAGTCTTATAGTCTCCATATATGGCAGTACTTTTACTTTCGTTACTTGTACCGCCGGTACAAGTAAAAAGTACGTACTTTTACTTGTACTTCGTTACTTTTTAAATTTAGTACTTTTACTTGTACTTTCGTTACTTTTTTAGGGAAAAAGTACAAGTATTTGTAACGGAAATATCGAATGAAATCGTTACTTTTTTCTAAAACTCGGTAAGCTTTCTAAAAAAACAAAAAATTAAATTTAAAAAAAATGCTTATGTTTTTTTAATTTATAAAATTAATGTGCAATATATATGCATTCACAGCTAACTTCGTGTTTAAATACCTTCTGTTTCAACTTATACTGCACATTCAATTATTTTTTACTAGCTCAAAGATCACAAAGCTATCTGAAACCCCGTGTTTGCTTTGTTTATGTTTGTGTTTTTAAAACGCGTTTCTAAAGAGTAAAACAATTTTAAATCAATGGTAATTTAAATAAATAAAAATAATAAACTAAAAATTAAAATCAATAGATAAAATTTCTTTTTCGTGCAAATCCATAAAAAGTTTGATATTAAAATTATATTTGATTTTAAAATTATATTATACGATTATATTATAAAATTATATTATAATATTCTTCCGAATTTAAAAATAAATTAATGTCCATAACTTTCAAAATTAAAAATAATTAAATAAATAACAACAATTTTGCAAAAACATTAAAGAACATAAGAATATTATTCTATAAAATTTTAGGTTACTTTGAATTTTCGATTTCCTCGAAATGTACTTTTAAATCGTTACTTTTTTTGTTTAGTACTTGTACTTTTACTTGTACTTTTTACTCGTTACTTTTTAAACTGAGAACTTTTTACTTTTTACTCGTTACTTTTTTTAAAAATACTTGTACTTTTACTCGTTACTTTTTAAAAGTAACGTTGCCATATATGATAGTCTCTAGACATACGGCGTTGTATATTCTTCTTTTCCCTCGAATTATAAGACTGAATGAATTGTGGTATATTTAGAATAATATTTAGGGGATTTATTTGCTTTAAGATATGTCCTTAAATATTTATAAAGTTGAAATTTATGTGTTCTTGATTTCCTACTCGTTTAATGGTTTTCAAGAAAATAAAGTGAAACATTTTCTTGTTAAAACTGTAAAAGATTCTGGTTCCAGACCAGACAATATGTTTGGATGTGGTTTCCATAATCAATCATTTCTTATTCTCAAATAACAATAAAAATAATTATTAAAGTGTGAAATATTTTGCTTTTGGGGTGTTTTTCTTATTATTATGTACTTTAAATTAAAGTTCTTTTAAGACATTCATATTTTTCTTTTGCCAATGTTTCTTTCGACCCTATGTTTGATCCATCATCATAATGCTATTAAAAGAATAATAGAAAAGTTACACGCTGCCGTGCAATTGAAAACATTCAGTATCGATTTTAAGAATCCTTACCCTTATAAATAGAATAACTGCTTCAAAAAATAAATTTTATGGAGAAAAAAAAAAACTCCCAATGTGAGTATACAAATATGCTAAGAGTAGAAAAATCTGCTGATGACGTCTACGCACGTCAAAATATGAAACCCAGAATCATGAGTCAAATTCTGATTCATTTCCCTCTTAGTAACCTTGGGGTGTCAAATTCAAAAGCTCAAATAAACAATGCCTAACTTTAGCTTCAAGTGGGACGCAAAAAAAAAAAAAAAATCAATGTTCATAGAAACAAATATTTTTATGTTGAACAGTTCATTGTAATAAACATATATAAAGTTAAATTATTGTTTGATACTTGACATCTCCTCTCTGCTACTATCTCACCTACGTCGTTAGAAATTTTATTGGCCGAGACTACTTTCAAATTTGACCCAACGTGAGCGTTATTAATACGGTTTCGGACAGGAGATTTATTTCCATTCATAACAGAAAATAATTGGCTCTCACTGATAAGTACTTCCAAACGTGGAAATAATTTCATATCCGAATTTTCGAGTATTTTCAAACCTTGTCGGTAAATATTTTTAAAATTTAGGCACACCCACTTCAATGAATTTTGCCTTCAAATATGAGTCTCACTGAATCTCAATCACTTCCATTTGCATATAACTGGGTACTGAGTCTATATTTATCGAGAAAATCGAAGAAAACAAACAAAATTTGACTTCCAAAGAATTAAAATCTTTAAACCTTGTTTCAAATTCTGTTCTAAGATTTGAATTCTTTTCTGCGCATTTTTGATACGATGCAGTATCCCTGGAAGAGCAGGTGCCGCAAGCCAATTAGAATTTTATATATTCTAGTATACAATTTAAAATGATCCGTATAGTTTATAAATAGAGTATGTTATAATTTTACATGCTAATTTCCTTTCTAATTCACATTTCTATTTTATTTTGACTTTGCGTAAGATATATTGACTGGGCCGCAAAAATGTCCATCTCGGGCCGCGAGTTTGACATCCCTGCAGTAACCGATACTCTTCTACTTATAAACTGGATAAGGATGGTTTTAAAATTAGTATTACAAAGAAAAAGAAATCTTACATGCCAAACACGCCAGATGGTTCATCTTCTTGAGAAAATGCGCTTCCTTTTTGCATTCCTAGGAGGTTGCTGATGGAATCAAAATCATACGTCTCACTGTACGTCTCTCGAACCTGTTATTGAAATAACCTGTTCTTTTAATACCCAATCAAATGATTCAAAATAGTGGTTACATTAAAAAAAAAAAACATTTCGACACCTTTATCTCTCAACTATTGGATATATATAACTACAATTTATAATCGATCATTAAAAAAAAAACCGAGTAAATAAAAAATATAGCATATACCCACTCGTTCTTTTATGCTAATTTGCAGGAATCGTGACATTTTAAAAACGTGAACGCGGACGGGTGCTAGAATATACCCAAATGGTCCTCTTTCTTCAAGTTTGAAACATCGAATCCAACTAACTAGATTCAGTATGTGAAAAGTTTTGTCTTCATTTTAAGAATGTAAGGAAACTCCGTTAATGTTTAATGGGGCAGTCTCTACCATGGCCCGACTTAGCCTCATTGGGACCCAGAACAAACACTTCTTTGCGGGGCTCCTCTGCTTCACTATTTCGGTCATGAAGAACCGAACTTTATGAAGGTATTTAAATTTTTCACCTCATTATAGATATATAAAAAGAAAATGGACTGGAACCTAAAATACCTATAAATGCCCCCCTCCCTCCAACGGATATATCGCTCTGTCCATTTTATTGATTTTATTGACATTTTTATTTCCATCATGCCGAATGCAGTTTTCTGATTGTTGTCATATAGCTGCGAAAAATTTAAATCCTTGGTGACATTAGGGAGGAATTCAGCCAAATTTTCGCAATGACGATGGCTCAATGAAGCCCATCAGAAGCCCGCATTTTTGTAAACATATCACATTTTACGATATGTAAAAAAAAAGGCTTTTGATTAGCCACATTTTTTCATCGTAAATTGCGAAAAATTAGACTAATCCGCATTTGAAAACCATGCATTTACGAAATATAGATTTTTTTTCGCGTTCACACGATAGATCAGGGGTTTCCAACTGGCGGCCCGCATCCGGCCCTCGTAGCCTTTTTTCGTGGCCCGCGAACTAAAATATATTAGTTTTCATAGCGGACAATTTTCGTAAAAAATCTATAAGGGCTTAAAATACTTTTCTAGCTAAAAAAAAAAACTAATTTTTTTTGTCATCTGTGAAATTTAACATACCAACGGTGCAAAAAAAAATGTTTTTCTCAGGTTTTGCTTCCAAGAAAATATTTATTGAAATACAAAAATAATCGTGCATGTTGTTCTCTGTTTTTTATTTCTTTTTTTATTTTGTGAATATAATTTAGCATGTGCGTATCAGAGATTCTCCAATTTAGCTTTATGAAACCACTCATTTTGGATGAAATTATTTACATTTGTAAATTTTAAAGCACATAAAAGAGGGAACGAATATAATGTTTTATCTAAATTCCTTGAATTGAATATCGCATGAGCGGAAAAGAAAAAAAAATTATTTCAGATGCTCGAGAAGTTTTTAGTTGATTCTATAATTCGTAATAAGTCGAAAAAATGTTAATTTATCACAGAATTGAATTTGAAAGTAAAAAAAATCATGTCACTAAGTTTCAGATTAAGAGAAGATTCAAAATGATACATAACAAGCATTATTTGTAATGCTTGTTATTCTGTCTTTTTTTTTTTTTTTTTAGTATTAAAAAAACTTTTATAAAAATCTGCCAGTAATTTTTAACGTTCCTTCAAACATAAAAGAGTCCTATATAAAATTTTGATAAAGTTGTGGCAGCCATTTGACTGGTGTTTTTAATTGCGGCCCCCGGCCTCATGTTAGTTGGAAACCCCTGCGATAGATTAATGAAGAAGCTAACACAAGACTGACGGATTTTACACTGTACTGATATTTTGTTGTAAAGAAGGTAATTCAAGAAGAAAACCTAAAATAAACCTTCGATTCGATTTGGGCACCCCCTCTGATGTGGGGGCACTGAGAAACTGCCCTGTATGCCCCTGCATCAGTTAGGCTCTGATCTCTACACGTTAAAACATATTTTAAACACATTTTCATTGTAATGTAGGGGAAATTAAACGCATTGTTAGTGTGGAGACACCTGATACAAAACTGTGAACCTTAAACCAACGCCAATAGCTCTTTAGTCTGTCACTTAAATAACCAAAAAGTAAATTTAACCTACCCTTTTTTTAACGAATTTATCCCAATAGTTCACAGGAAAAGATCTGGAAATAAAAAGGTTGAAGAATCAAAATTTTACAATATTTGAATAATGTGTCATACTATTAATGTTTTGCCATAGTAATATATTGTTCGTCCACCAGGAGTAGGCACTTGACTCCGCCTTTATCACGTGGTTCTTCCGACGATAATAGTACGCTATTTTTAGAAGGAGGGGAACTTTTGAGGAACAATCCCGAGAAAGGTCGCCAGTTGGCAATCTTATGACAAAAATATCGATGTTAAATAATTAATAAATTGGATAGAGTTAGGTTGAATGTTTGAAGATTATAAACTATTTTCAGCGATATTATAGGCAAAGTCAACATGCGCGTGATTCTTTTTATGTGACCTGCTATTTAAGAACTTCTTTTTAATTTCATTACATATTTACTATTCCAATACATTTGACTGCAAAACAATTTTAGGAAAAATAAATTTAAAAAAGCAAATTTTAAAAAAATAATTAATTCTCATTTATTTTTTTGGGATATTAATAAATGAAACTAGTCATTCATTTTAACTAGAGAATTTTTCATTCTATATTTTTATGCTCGCAAATAACATTTTTTTTTTTCAGAATAAACTTTTATTTTTCATTAAACAAACAAAAACATTAAAATACAATGCAATTTTATAAAATTATTCTTTAATGCAAACTTGAATAAATACTTGCTTTTTAGCTGTTATGCATCACAAACTTCTTTACTTGTGAATAATACATTGAGGCTATTTAATGACACTATTTCAATATATTTAGTAGGTATAATGTGCCTAAATCCAAAATAAAAGTGACTCAAAATTATTAAATTTTAAGAAAATAGTAGAACGCAAGAATGTTAAAACAATTTAGAATCTGCCTTAAAGATGTGTTAAATAGTATATGACAACGTAAAAATGTCATAAAAAATAACATAAATCATCAATAATAATACGTATTACAAACGAAAATGATTGCTAAGATTTTTTCAATGAAGTGAATAAATCTTTTACATAATAATATAAGACCTGGTTGAAATTATTTTATTAATAAACATTATTAGTATTTCATAAATTTTTCATTTTTCTAAAAACAGCCCTTTTTAAACTTGACATATATTTAACTAGCTAGCGTTACGAAAGGTATAACAACCTGGAACGCAGACTTGATGTAAACAATAACAAGCTTCCTAAAATCGGAAGGAATTTAGAAAACTTCCGGTGTATCCCTCCGCTTATGCACGAGGTGCAGTGTGAACAGGCTGATTATTCTAGGAGGTTTATTATTGTGATTTGTGTTTAACTTTACCCATTCATAAGAGTTTTCTGTCATTTATATAGGGTTGAGTAAAAAGTTTTTCACCAAGGGGAGATACCTACGCGCCAACAGTAGCCATTCTCGTGGTAGTAAACCTTTTTCCAAATGAGTTTTTGCATTCTAAAGCTGAAAGTTGGAACTACGCAACTGTGTAATTTCTCTGTCAAAACTTTATTATATTGTGCACCATAAAAGTGTTTAAATTGAAGCTATCACGTCAACAGATCAGAACGATTATGTACTATTCACTGTTTGGCGAGCATTAAGAGTTGTCTCAATTATAAGAGTGGGGATGTTTTATCCAATTACTAACGTCCTAAGAAGTGGAGCCCAACTCCTGGTGAGTGAACAATATTATTAATTTGTCAAGGTTTCTCATAGTAGTGCATGAATCGTTTAAAAGAGGACCACACATACTTTGTACTGATGACCAATTTATCCCAGTGTCCTTTTAAATCATCTTCGGCAGGTTGTTCGGATATGTAAAGACCATCGATTTCCACAGCCCTCGCGATTTCTTTCTCTCTTTTGAAGATCGCCAGAGGCACCTACAATGAAAAAATATAGCCTCTAATGTATAATCAAAATTTTAGTGCCAATTGGCCATTTTTTTGACTAATTAACAAACACAATACTGAAAAGTGATAAAGACGAAACATTTTACTTTTGCAACGTGGGGGGGGGGGTACTGATTTATTCCAAAACAATTTTAGAACCGTTTCAGTTCACAGCTCGTCTATAATCAGCTGTTATTGTTACACACTCCTTCTTAATTCAAATATCCATTATAATCAAAATAATAAATAACACATTCATTCTTTATACTAGTTCTTCGAACGTGGCATAAAAATCAACGGATCAACACAGCTCAACATTGACAAAAAAGTTAATATAATTCCATTTTATTTTATTATTTTTCGTTACCCCTGACCTTTTCGTTCTTAGATTAACCTACGCTGTTAGCGATCACTTGATATCATTCGGTATCGAAAATAAAATGCTATTGCAAGGAGCAAATTCTGCAAAATCCAGATTTAAGAAGCAGTGTTTCGGTACCAACTTTATTTTTTTTAAAATTTTATTTAAATGTCCGTTGATTTCGTATTATTTAGAATTGTAGAAACAAATTTCAAATGCATTAACTATAAGGCTTTGTTTTAGATAACTAATGTTTCTTCCACATGCATCCCACCTATTTTTCTTTTACTCAAGCTTAACGCACAGGTCACGTAATCACTTCCATTGCAACGATTCAATAGAATTGTAACACCACTAATGTCATCTTTCAAATAACTGAGAAAACAGAATCACCTGCAAATGAATTTGCATCGCTAAACCTAGGGTAATAATTCGTTTTTCAAGCGTTCCTCGTGAAGAACTATTTGAAAAGATTTTTAAGATTGGAGCTGAAATCGCCTTTTTCACGAACAAACGGTTCTTGAGTTATAAAAGAATTCTTTTTATTTGACTCCTACAATTAGTGGATGCCAATACAGTTTTTACAAATAATGATTCATTCATTCATTTTAGTCTTATGGGGGAGAATTAAATTGTAATTATTTAATAAGAAGTAACTAAAATAAAAATATTCTTTGTTAACCTAAGTAGGAATTAAAATTTTTTTTAAATATTATTTGTTATTCTAAACAAGTCTTACTTTTAGATTATAATAGGCGATCAACATGCAAAATGAAATAATGGAGTGAGTGACTGCTAACAGCCGAATGACAGGCTCTAAATAGAACACTTTTTCTTCTATAACAACCCATTCTTCCACATCTTCATCCTCATCTCCCAGTATTGCACTGTCGTCGAAGTTAGTACCGTTGCCCAAGACGATATCATCATCATCATCATCCTCTTCTCCTTCCTCCCCCTCTTCCTCCTCATCTCCTCCAGGAATGGTAACCTGTAATCATGACATGAGAGGATGGTTATAAGAACACTTATTTTGCACCTACTGGGTGATGGAATTTATGAGTTAACTTTTCTTACCTTGTAGAACAATAAGATGAAATTGATAGCAAAAGCCATGACGAGAGCAGCGTATTTCATAGTGTAGAAATTTCGAGCCAAGAAACTCTGCAAAAAAAAATAATTGTTTTTTAATAAAAAAAAACTTGGCATTCAATCTAAGGCAGTGATTCCCAAAGTGGTCTATATTGACCCCCAGGGGTCAACGACAACCTGTAAGGGGTCCATTTTAAGTGAAAAAAAATTGGGGGTCGATGAAATGAAAATGGGGGTCAACGATAGTGGATCTCATAAGCAGGTTGTGACTTTTAATTTTGGCATTTCATGAATGGAATAATCAACATACACTAATAGTACCTATTTACTTACATTATAGACCTTATACAAAGATATTTATCTATCTACATTCTATATAATTTATAAAAGCAGCTATGAAGTAAAAACTTCATTAAAATTTAAGTTATTGGGATTATTTTTTGAAACTGAATTATTATAAACTAGCAGTTGCCTGCAGCTCAGCCAGAGTACGTTTTTATTTTCTCTGCGTGTAAAGTTTTATTTTGTAACAAAAAAGTATTTTTTGGCTGTAAATTGTAGCCTAGCAAGTGTGTCTACTCTTTAGCTACCTGGATCACCAATTTTATCTGCGCACGAGATTTGTTGCTTAGTTATATGTAAAAGGGAGATCACTTACCACAAGTTTCCTTCCGTATTCTTTAAAATTGATTGCAGCCACTGCAGGTGTTTCCGTTGGTCTGATGGGTTCTGGTGGCAACATAATCATGGCTGCTTGTGCTGCTGCTGCTGCGGCTCTGAAATGAAAGAAAATTATTTTTTCTTCTGCTACGAAGTCATCGCATTATTATAACAATTTTTTTGAAAAGAAATTAAAGGGTTTTTTTTTCTAAAAAAGTTATAATCTGAAATTTAAAAAAAAAAAAATTTTTTTTAAATTTTTTTAATGCTAGAATGGTTATAAAATGAACATATTGAACTGCCTATTAAAATTTAATTCAAGTCATTAACATATTTTTTATGACTTTTAACGGGGGCGAAAGGAATCATAGTATCTTTTTTTTTTACATCCAATTTCTCGATGAAAACAAAATTACCCAGACTACTTACAAGCAATTTCTTAATATCGATTTAGTAATTCCTATGGCCACTTTTCAAGTGATATTGTTTAAAATATTTTTGAGAATGATTTATAAGAAATAAAAAAATTATATCGGTTATTAAATATAGGTTTTTAAGATCATTGTTTTAGATGGAAGGTGGTTGGGATTTTCAAAACCTTACTTTTTGTAAAGAACTTGTCACTTTAGTGCTTATAAATAATAAAAACAAAATTATAAATTTTGTGCCTATAACTACAGATAAACTTGATGAGAAATGAACGAACGCTTAACGCGAAAGCACAATGAGCTCTTCAGTGTTAACCTCTGTTGAGCGCCGCTTTGTTACACTTAATTATGCAAACACTAAATTTTTTTTTTTTTTCTTTTGCATTTTTTGAAATTGCACAATTCATGGGTGGGGAAATATTCGATAGGAAGCATAATTTGTTCACCAGGAGTTGGCACTTGGCTCCCCCTCCTCGGACGCGGAGTTCATTCCAGCGCGGGAGTAAGAATAGAAACATCTCCGCGCTTGAAATTGAGACAACCTTTAGTGCGCGCCAAACACAAACAGTGACTTATTTTTCAGTCACTTACTTCGCTTTATCATCCGCTATTGTACCTTTCGTTTCTCTAGCTAATTAAATATATTTATAATTTAAAAATTGTTGTTTTTCCAGCAAAATATCTCAAAAAGGACAAACTATTTACTCAAAAGGGAGAAATATCATAAAAAATGGAGCGAAATATCATCAAATTTATGAAATATTTAATGTTAAAAAAATGCAGATAAAGTTTGCGAATTAAACATTTTTGCCATACAATCGTCAAATAGCAACCTTGTTCAAGATTGCTCACAACTTTCTTCCAAAAATAGCGAAATAGTATCGTCACATATCACGTGATGAAGGCGGAGCCAAGTGCCAACTCCTGGTGAACGAGCTATATACGTATTTAAATATTATATTTTGAATGGGGCTCTCAATAATGTCACAAAAGCAGACGAAAGAAAAAGTAATGTTTTTCAAACTAAAACCTCTTATTTCCATTAAAAAAATAATTCGTAATAAATTGCATGATTGACTTTCTTTTCATCATTCGCGTTTAACAGATTTCTCAGTACTTTCATCAAAACTTCATCTTCATAACAGATTCTTAAATATCGTCATTTGGGGAAAAAAATGGATTTCCAAATTATTTCGTGAGTTGTAAAAACTTAAAAGTTTTCTATTGAAAAACAAATGGTGATGGATTTTAATGTTCCGAAATATTAAATAAAGAGAAAAAATATTTTAAAAAATTGTATAATTAACTAATCGATACAAAAAATAGTGATTTGAGGTAGGACTCATTTGGTCATTATTCACATCTTCAAGCCATATTTCTAATTTGTCACATAAAGTTCAACGCCAAAAACGTTCTCAACACTCTGATCCATACACATATTTTATTATATGTTAGGCCCGTGGCAGAATTACGGCGACATCGTCGCAGAATTTTTGCAGAAAGAAGTTTCATTAGAAAGGGGAAATTTTTATTTTTCCTTTCTGTATAATTTTTCGAAAAATGATTTTTTTTCTACAGAATTGTTTTAAAAAGAAGTCTTTCTTGCGCAACAGAGAGGAAAGAAATAATCTTAATTTTTCTGATCTCATTCGAGATTTTTTTTAAAAAAAAAAATCGGTAATGACTGGCTTTTAGCTAGAATTTCAAATTGATAATATAAAATAAAATAATTCTGAAGGTTTAAAAAATAGTTCGCTCTAGAAAGGATGTTCTTTCTTTCTTTTTTTTTCCTTTCTTTAAAGAGCACCCTATTTTACATATACTTATTTGAGTATCTCTTTTTTAAAAAGTATTATTCGCGTGATTCGTGATTTTTACTTTGGGTGTTACTGCACGGGTTTTATGATTTCAATTTATGTTTGAATTTTAAGTTGTTATCGCTTAATTTATTTTCGAATTTTAATTTATGAAATGATTTACAAAATTCGAAAGAGGAAATAATGAGTGCATTTTTCCGCCTATAATATTAAAATAAAAAAATATTACTTTTACAATAAATTGTTATGCATTTAATTTTTTTATACATTTTTATTCTATTCTTTCGCCTGCAAAAACAACATTTCTGTTACTTTAAATGAGTAATTGTTACATTTTAAAGTGTCTTAAAGAAATGCCACCGAAAGCTCGAAAAAATTCTGCCTTAGGGTATGACTGCAACAGTTTAAAATGCATGCTTATTAGGATCAACATTTAAACATTATAGCGGAACATATTAATTATCCAAACATTTTAAAAAAGAAAAAACAGCGGTAATATTTGTTACCTGTTTTTTGTGAGTCTATAAACATTTTACATTTAAATCCATTGTTCAAAAAAATAGAACGCATGGAAAGAAGAGTTTGATAAGAGCGGTGTTAGACTGAACAACTTAATTCTAATCACCTGCATGCTAAATTTTATTTTTCGGAGGTGCGTTACTAAACTGCAAAAAACTGTCTAATCGTTCGCTTTTCTCTTTTAGTTGAGACATTTTAGTGTCGTTCTTTTGATTGTTTTGTGCAAGACCCAATTTAGCATCATTAACAGCCTTTAAATAACAAACTGAATTTGGATGTTACGGAAACGGGTTTCGTGTCTTTGAAATTATCAAATACAATACAACAATTACTTTTTTTAAAAATAAAACGATATCGATCACTTTAAATGTTTTCATGGATTATATTATTTTAATGGAAAGTGAAAATACAGAAAGGATTATATAAGAACATCTCCAACTTGTGAAAGTATCAGTTATGATTTCGCCCAGAATTTTTTAAAGCTAACATAAAACACACTGAAAATGTTTAAATACAGTACCTGACCAAATTATTAGACGAACTATAAGATTCTATGTAAAATCTTAATTATCAGGTGATACTCTATACAGCTTTCTTGTTTTTAAGTGACTGAAACCGGTTTGTACTTTTTTACGTTCTTCTGTAGTATTGGTTAAATTAGAGGATATATAATATAAACTCGAGGACTAGATAAATTAGACAATCTATTAAATAAATATAGAATATTTATTATATCAGATATTATATTAGTATATTATAATAATGAGACCCAATTAATAAACTCACTGTAATTTTTTTAAATAATGACATGTTTTGCACAAGTTTATATAGGCAATACTTAACTATTTAATTATATATGTAATTGGTTTTTATTCGGGAGATTTTTTTATATACTACTTCCAATTTGTATTCATTTTAACGTATTGCATTGGACATGTTAACCCATTAAAACACGAACGTCAACAAGTACAAACCGGTTTCGGTCGCGTAAAATCAATAAAGCTGTATAGTATCACCTGATAATTAAGATATTATATGGAATCTTAAAGTGCTTCTAATCATTTGACCAGGGATTGTATAATATTTAAGCAAATAGTTCATGGTCCATGTAAATATAGGTCAGAAGCATTGACGAAGCGTCATGACACAAACAGTCAATTTGGGTATTATTGAGACATGCTGATCTAGTTCAGGCTTGGTTTTGACACATCGCGTAATGGAACACGCCAAGAAAATGGACAAATCAATTATTAATAAATGTTACTTACTGATCGGCTGGAACCACTTGGCTGGTACTGGCTTCAAGTGGCTGTTAAAAGAAAAAATAATCAGTTCATTTAGGAAAGTATGGAGGAAAAAAAAAAGAAAACAAGCGAGATATAATTTCAATACCTGTTGAGACTCTTCACCCGTGGGGGATTTCTTTCCGTCCTCTTCGGTGGAGGCGCCCTCTGTACCTTCTCCATCACCTTTTGTTTTTGTCCTGATGAAAAGGGAAAATTGTTGGTCATTGTCCACTTACTGAAATCTTTATTGTTGCTTCAAGAATCGTCTATGTTAAAATCAACTAATTTTACTTTTCTACTGATTTGTAACACTTTTAGATGAAATGTTTCCAGATTGGCAACACTGCGCCGGAAAATGTTAAGAGTACTCCACACCGCGGAAGTTTCCTCTGAAATATTCTTTCCTCTTCATGACTCATTTAAAATTTAAAGTGTAGAAAAAAAGAGAGTACAGACAAACCTAGAGTAAGCCAAATACTGAAGAGAAAATTTTAAAATGTACAAATGGAAATAAATGATGACAACTTAGGATGACGCAACGGTTCACTTCTAATAATTTGTTTTTCTTCCAGTACTTGAAACTTCGTGACAAACTCTAGGTTTTGCCAGAACATATTTTTTCTTCATTTTTAATTTTAAATTAGTATCGATGGAGAAGGAGAGGAACATTTTCTGCAGCTGTATGACGTCCTATTAAGTAGTAGTGCCCTGTAGGGCAAAATTCTAAAACTTTGCTACTGCCCCATTTGTAGCAGAAGCCGCTTTTAAAGGTATATGATCACTTTTTTAAAAAATTAAAAATTTTAAGCGAGTAAAAAGCCTTTTTTTTTAGCATTTCATAAAGTATAAGAAAAGAAGGTCATTAATCAAGAAAAGTTTTAAGCGAAGCAACGCGAAATGAATTAATTTTCAAAATATTATTCGCAATATTTCAATATTTATTAAAAATCAATAATAAACTGCAAAGGGAGTGCATTTTCTACTAAAAAAGTGGTGTTCGAGTGCTAACAGACAGACAATTCTTTATATTTACTCAACGGGTTCGTTCATTTTGTCATTTAAAGAACCCTATATATTATGCACGAATGATTTTAAAGTGATGAGGACATTTTTTAAAAAATTATACGAAAAAATTGCGCTAGACAAAAACCTAGCAGGAAATTATCTCATGGATAATTTACATAGCGGCATATATCTGACAGAAGAGGTATTCCCGTGCAAAGCAAGAATGTTCTTTTAAAAAATATATATATATATATATATGCGGAGTATTATTAAACTCTACTTTTCTCCTTCTGTGGCAGCAGTTTCTGGTCCAGTAAGTGCTAAAGTTTTTTCTCCTCCTCCTTCAGTGGGTGTCTCCTGAGGTGGCGGGGGCGCTTCTATAGGTAAGGGTTCTATGGGCATCATAGCAGGTTTTCCAAAGTCTGGTTTCAAATCTTCCACTTCTTCCTCATCACCTTCTATCAGAGCTTTACCACCCATTAACAGTAATATGACATGGAAAATGTTCCTAGAAGGTTAAAAAGAATATATGACATACAAGAGATTGTTTCTTGTCATCTAGAGATGCCGCCTTATTTACATTTATGAGAACCTCAATGAATAACTCTTGATTTTTAATGATTAGATTTGCACGTACTACAACTCAACCTTAATGACTCCAGGGCATAACCTTAAACAGGCTAACTAATTAGTGCAGGAGGTATTTTAAATTTCGATATCAGACACGAAAACGTACTTTCTCTGTATAAACATACCTTTTTACCAAGCGATTCAAAATATGGGATGAAACAACAATCTTGAAAATCGGATTTCAATAGAAGAGTCATCGAGCCCCTTTTACAATTTGCGCATTTCGTAATGTATCGAAATATTTTCAAAAGAATCAAAAACATTCTTGCATTAAATTGAGAAATTCATTTATCAAACTTAGTTATTTTTTTAAAAATAATTTTATTCGAAATTATAAAAAAATAAATAGTTATTTATAATAAATTAATTAATAATTAATTAAATGAAACATTAATACTAGTTATTATTGAATTCTTATTAGAAGGCTCACAAATTTCTTCGTCGAATAATAAATATTTAAATATACGAAAAAATTTGAATTGCAATGTATACAAATTAGAACATCATTTTAAAAAATGTAATTTTAAAAGGTAAAATACAATATTTTAGTGCAATCGATGGAACAGTTTCGGAATTATGAAATTTGAAAATAAGTCATGGATATAAACTTTAATTTAGCGCGAACTATTTGACCGATTTCATTTTGCATTTTGCCATTCAAAATTACATTCTTTAAAATAATGAAATTATGTGTATATCATATGATTCAAATTTTTTTTCGTTTATTATTATTTAAAATATTAAATAATTATTAAAAAAACTAATATTGGTGCATGGAATGTTTAATATAGGGGCATCTTTGTGCAAGCTCATTTTATTGTTGTAAGCAAAAATTTTTTCGATTCGCTTAAAAAGTTCATGATAAGGGGAAATAGGCTAAAAGTAAAATCAAGATTAAGGAATTCTAACTTTCATCCTCTACCCTGACTTAACTTTTCAAATTGTAGCGAGCCCCTCTATTTTGAGGGTCGAATCCAAATTAGTCTGGAAAAAAGATGTGTTTAAAGAAAATACGTTTTTGTTTCTGATTTCCTAACTGAAAATATCATCTACACCAAACAATTTAACGTTATTCTTTAAAAAACTAAAAGTGAGTCTTAGTACGCGAAAATCCGTTCATTCTATGAAAAGTTATTCTAGGTGTTCCCTTTTTTATATTGCTTAATCAGACAGCTTTTGTTTTTTCCTTAAAAAATAAAGTTTAATTTCTTTTCATTGCAAGCGACATCTCATTATTCACTGGAGAATCAATTAACTAACATGCGAAAGAGATTAATAACATCTCAAATGTGAGCTCATTGCTCACATTTGAGATTAAAATCCTTTGAAAAAATTGGATATGCTATGAAATAATGTACTAATTCAAATTAAAAGAATAAAAAAAATAAACTTTGTGTTATTGGGATATTTACTTTTAAAAAAAGTACAATGCTTCTATAATAGTTAAAGAATAAGAAACTAAAAGCAGAAGTTCACTTGTCTGCAATGTCGGTCAGGAGCGTCCTTAATCCAATGTGTAAATACTTGTTATAATCCAAGATGATGAATGATACGAAATGAAGGAAGAAACATCTATATTATATAAAACGCTAATACGTACGTATGTATGTATGTATCAATAAAACCGATGATATTTCTTTTCTCGCGCTGGCAACAGTTTTCATTTTTAATTTATTGGATTCGGCGCGCAAGAGCGCGTAGTGAGCAACCAGATAACAATAACCAGAGTGAGCATTATCAGGTTGTTCAATTCAAATTCATGCACTACAATATTTAATTTAAACTCAATTAGGAATTAATTAATTAATTGAAGTGAGAATGCTTTAAAAGGCCGCTGTTGAATTGATATTTTTCTACTGGGAGCTACCTAAACGTCTAAAAAACGTTTAAGTGTTTGTATTGAATGCATTGAATTTTTTTATATTTCGCGTTTATTTATG